AAAAAGTACTCTAAACTGTATAAATAATGTAAAATTAAATTGAATTTATTAGCCAATTAGACAAACTTCTGCCTATGTCCCTCTAATACATTTTCTAGACACTGTCAACATGCTATTTCATTTACAGCACATTTTTTCGATAAGACATATATTTGATATTATATGTTTTCAATAATCCTTTTTCTAGACGAGACATTTTTTCAAAAACTATTCTGACATATAAATAAGTATTAGTAGCAATAGGTAAATAGAACAATAAACTAATAGAATAAAGCAATAGAATTTAGAATAGAATAAAAATTTTGTTAATAGAACAAAATATTGTCAATAAGATTATAATTAGATATTAATATAGTATAAAATTTCAATAAATTACTCACTTAAAAATTCCTATTTATAAGGTGTTCTAAATTGTTTTTTGTAATATTGAATGATATTACTGCTATGAAAGAGAGTGTAGATTTGACAGAGTATATATTTTTATTAGAGTGTAAATATGGATATGTTTGCTTTACTTATTATATATAAATGTTTTATGATTTATATATTATTTATATATCTCGATATCTGTTAATTATTCTATATATACTAGTTATACTACTTATAATTATTATGCTAAATTTATTATATATATAATTTCTACTAAGTCTACTTACTATGTTACATTTACTAAATATATTATGCATTTATTACAAATACTTATGTAATTAATCTATTTTAAGTTTAATGTATCATTAATCAATTTCTAATTATTACAATTATAATAAATAAATAGATCAATAGAACAATAGAATAGAGTAATAGAAATTAGAATCAAATATAATTTTTATTAATAGAATTAATATTTGCTTTAAATTAGCTAATCTTAAAACTAAACCAAACTAATTTTATGTTAAGAAAATAATTATTAAAGAAATGTCTTATGAAAAGAATTATTAAAAATATTTAATATCAAATATATGTTTTATCAAAAAAATATATTATAGATAAAATATCGTGTTGATATTACTATATTGAAAAATGTATTGGTAACTAAAAAACTTTCAAAGAATTATGTAATAATTATATATAAAATAATTTATTTATATATAGTAACTAATAAAAGTAATACAAATAATCAAATATTTTTTTATCTTTACTTCTTTCTACTATTTAAAATAATCAATTTTATAATAAATTATATATTAAATCTTTTTTAAAAAATTTTATTATCAAAAAAAATTTTATATTTTTTTAATTTAGTAAAAATTATATAATATTAAATATAAATATTAAATTATTTAATTATATAAAATTCTAAAATATTTATTTTTAAAACTTATAATTTTTAAAAATTTTTAAAATTTAGATTTTTATTATATATTTATATTTATTATGTAAATTTTATAAAAATTAATTGTAAGTTTTTTTTAATATTAAAGATAAGATCATATTTTTAATTATATTAAAATTTAATTAAAATTTAATTATAATTTTTATAAAGAAAAACTTATTTTTAAATTACATATAAAAAATAAGAACTTAAATATATAATTTGTAATCTAAACCTATAATAATAATCAAGACTTACATAGATTTGAGTATAAGTAATAAAATAAAAAAAATATAATATTTGATTCATTAGATAATTTAAAAATTAATTTTAGTAATAATTTATAATATTGAAATAAGAGATAAAAGTAGATTAGAGGAAGAACTATAAGATAAGCTAATAAAAAATAATTTGAGATTATACAAAATATAAAATATAGTATAAAATTTATATTTGTTTATATATTTATTTGTTTAAACCAAAAAAAAAATTGATAGAAAGAAAAAAAGCAGTATAATAAGAAATATCAATATTGTGAATAGTAGAAACTAAATTAGATAAAATAAAAATAAGAAACAGTATATGTAAAAAATTATATAATTTAAAACTATTAAATATAAAAATTTCTTTATATGAATTAGAAACAATATTAATAAATATGTCAAGAGTAGTTATATTTAAGATACAATTGAGAAAATTAGAAATTAAATAATTTATATAATATATAAATATTAAATAATATGTAAAAAAATCTGTATTAATAATTTTATATAGATTTGATTAATTAAGATATAAAATATTCTAATACTTTATATACTTTATACACCATTTCTGGTATACTATAATTCTGATCTAATTATCCAGATGACCATCTGGTACACATTTTCCAATATATATTTCTGTACTTATAATCTGAATATATCTCTAAGATATGTTTTGGAATATTGTATTGATGCATATTATATTGTGCAAAAGTAGTAATTAGTAAAGTATAAAAAGGTAACTAAAATTATTATCAAAAACAAACTAACAAAAATTTTATTAGATTATATAAAAGTAGATAAAATTCTTTACCAAAATTATTATAGTAATATTGTAGTAAATTATTTATTAGTCCTTTAATAATAAAAAATCTAGCATATAGAATAGATTTTCTGATGTTATAATCCAAAAAAAGTTTTATAAGATCTTGATTGTAAACAAAATAAATATTGGATTGGATGAACTGAACTATTATTTAGACTAATTTAATTTTAACAATATTTGAGTTTGGATAATATGATAAATCATGTGCATGTGATATATCAATAAATAGTGAAATAGAATTATAGAGCAATAATTTTATTTTTAAGTGAATAAATTTTCTTTATTAATATTTTTTTTTATGTATTTGATTCAAAAAAGGGTAATTAATACCTATTTGCTTATAAACAAACTATATTTAATGTTTGTACTTGACTTTTACAAGACAAAATTAAATCCTTTTTATATAATTAATTTCTGTTTAGTGTTTCAAACCTTTACTAACAGTTTTTAATTCTTTTACAAGAGTTATAAATTCTTATTATTGTGACTTTACCTCTTAATATCAGTCACTAACTCTTACTAAGATTACAGTTTAGATTGTCAATTCTTATTGAATTTATTTTATGCACCTTACATAATGTTATAATTAAATCTCATTAACTTATTTCATATTCTAAAATTACTCAACTTTATATTTCAAATTTAGAAAAAATGAATTCAAATTATTAGGCTTGAAATCAATATGTTTTTAATCACCTGTTAAATTTGTAATATATTTAATATAAATTTTAGTGCAATATTATAAATTTCCAGGTTAAGTCAGAGATCGGTGGCACACGTTGTTACGGCAAGGGAGAGCTTCTATATCTTCCAACCAGATTTAACTCAGTGCCGCAAGCATTAAATACAAAACCCGTAATTTACTTCAATACACAAAGACAAGAGAAATATCCTTCTCTCTAAACCTAACTAGTACAAGAAAGAATCACATTTTATACTAACTATTAGGCTCTAACTAATTATTATGCTATTAGACTTTAACTATAAAATGATCGTTATAGATTCGATCATTATCAAAATATAAGCTAAATTATTATAAAGTTACATAAGAAAAAGTATAATATTAAACAATTACATCATTTTTCGTAACAACGTGACCGGAAAATCTATACATCATAGTGTAATTACTTAAATTATCTACTAAATAATATTGCCAATTAAAACTGTCAATAAATTTAGGAAACTGATATTTCCACACCTCATTTTGATATTGCCACACCCTAATGGTTATAAGTTTAAATATTTTACATACAGGCAGAACTCCATAATGCACGGAGACTAAGTAAAAACTCTCTAAATGCACGGTATTTGTCTGGTCCCAACTCATAAGAGCTATATATAATTTCTAATCTATAAATGCACACACTTTCAAGTGCACTATTTCAAAATTTTTTCCTATGGTCCCGACGACAGTGCATTTGCGGAATTCTGCATAATAAAATTGATACGCTAAGTTTAAAGAATCTCAACCCATCAAATATCAAGGTTAGATAAAATCAAATTGTTCCATTCGGACTTGGTTTATATCGCTATTGCAATTATTACAAACCTTGGTGCATTTTATAGTTTATAACAAAATGTAAATTAATTTTGGTTGCGTAAAATTGTTACGTATTAAGGTGCTAGTATTAAGTAATAATTTTTTTTAGTCCAAGTTAATGTTAATCATTAAAATATAGAATGAGAATAGTTAATTTTATTAGAGTGTGACAATATTAAAATAAAGTGCGAAAATATCAGTTTCCTAAATTTATTTATAATACTAGTTGGCAAAATTTAATAATACATATCAATGTTCTGAATAGTATACTACATTTTTTTAACTTATTTATACAGTATTTAATACAATTTACTGTATATTATTAAATATATATATCCTACCTAATAAAACTCCCACATATCAGAAAAAATACTTGTTCTTATATTTATAATCGGAGTTTATTTTGTGCAAAAAATTTTACATGTTTATTATTGCAAAAAACATTCAAACCAAAGAACAATTATTTTTTTTCTTGTATGTTCATCTCAATTAAGTGAATCTGTGCAAGTTTATGGAATATTTTGGGTGTCTGCGCAATTTTGGGGAGTGTTTTGGGTAGTGCTTATTGCGTCCAAAATACCTTTATTTCTTTTGATGTACTCTTTACAGTAATTTTCAAGTAGATTCGCTTTATACTTGTGGCTCAGATTCAATATCTCCAATACATTACTTTCGTTTACAAGACCGCGTTTAATAAAGTTATTTTGAATTATGCTATTCAAGCGTGGACATTTATTTGATGCTTTCCAAATGTCAAATATAAACTTTATATAATCTTGTCCGTCAAATTCCTCTCCGAAAACATCCTCAACAGCATTTCGGTACGTCATACCATAAAGACATCTCAGGAGCACTTTATATGTGTCAGGTTGAATGTCATTAATGATTATAGGATTTTCGGAAAAATTCCAATCAAAGTATTTTGCAACATCTAAAAAATTAAAAAATTTTTAAGTTTAAAAAATCTGATCTAGCCAAATTATTAAACCAATATATTATGTTTATATGGTCTAAATGGGTAACTCCAAAGAAAAACCTGACTTTGGGCTTTCAAGCCTATCATTTGTCATTTACTAGATTCAGCCCTGAGAACAGAAATATATATGATGCGTAAGTTAATTTAATTACGCATCATATGCGTCACCGTCAGGGCTGAATCTAGTAAACAATAAAAAGTTAATTTGACAGTCTGGAGTATACATGCTGTAGAAAGTATTTCGGCATAATTTCTACCTGAATTTTGGCATGCGGCATTGCCTAAGGCCAAAATTTGTGCTGCAACTAATGGTCAATACATTAAGTCAGAATTAATGCCGTAAATGTACATATAATAAACCTATTTTTGGCTTAGTTATAAATATTTCGGCATGCCGAAATAGTTTCTATGAATGTATACTAACAAAATTGCGGCTACAATTTTAGGTCATGGCTTGTATTTTAGATTTTGGCTTTTGCTTCAGATTGCGGCATAAATTATGGATTGTGGCTTTACAGTATTTCTACCAAAAAAATTGGCGTCTAAATATTTTCGACACAGCCGCAACTAGTTTCTACGGTATGTATAGTCTGGAGTTTGGTTTTTCTTTGCAATCACTCAAAAAAAATTTAATTCGTGATTCGCAGGGAACCAGTGAAAAGGCATAATAAACCGTGGAGATATGTTTACTATTTGTCTGTTGCCTTTTTTGGAATCTAGAGCTTCCTAAGGATGCACGATTTTTTTTTTAAGTATATCCCTCGTTACTTCTAATCAAAGTTGTGAAAGAAAGAATTTCGGTCATAATTGTGGTCAAATCATTAAAATCTGCTCGTGAATCACGAGATATGGATGTTTTTGTCTTCATGACTATTGTATAAATAAAGAAGTAAACATATAGTCGTGAAGACAGAAACTTTCATTTCTCGTGATCCATCCGGCCGATTTTGTTAACCACCACTATGATCAAAATGCTTTCCTCTAAGACTTTTATTAGAAATAGAATAGAGGTATACTTAATAAACAAATTCGTGCATCATTGGGAAGCCCTGGATTCTAAAAAAGGTAAAAAACAATAGCAAATTTGCCCACGGTTTACTGTTTTTTTCACTGGTTCCCCGGCGAATCACGAATTAAGTAATATAAAAAACACATACCTGATAGAACAAACCGATTTGCGCCAATTTTATGATTCCCGATTTGGAATGTAACATCATGATATTGAGAATTGTGATTCTGAACCCGCAGATACTCAAGCAAATAGTTAATCAACTCAGCTTTTCGTGATTTGATCGGTTCAGGTTTAATGTCTATATTATTATCTACAATTTGTGCACCCGCATCTATCAATAGCTCTTTAAATTGCTCCAAACGGGGATGTACTTTGAATAATTCACCTATATCACCTTGAATGTCAAAAGCAAGATGTTCGCCCAAGACCCAACAATTGGGATCAAAAGGGTTATCACCATTTAAGAAACGTAAATTTTTTAATTTAGATTTCGTAATTCCTTTTTCCATCACGAATGTATAAATTTCATTCATAATTTTGTATATGGTATTAACTTCCCAAATTGAATCATCTTGGGAAATTATTTCAATAAACAAGCTGTTCCAATGTTCAATAACTGTATCGATGTCTGGAGGTCGTTCGAATTGTGGGATATCAGAATCAAAAAATGGTACTTTCGTCCAACATATATTTATATACTTTTCGGAACACAGTGAATTAAAAGATTCAAATCCTAAAGTATAAAATGCTGTATTGCTGTAAGGATTAGGAAGTTCTTTGTTAGAAGGAATAAACTTTATTTCGGAAAGTTGTTTCTTTTCATAATCATTAAATTGTAATCTATATCGTAATCTATATCGTAATCTATTGTGATTAACGTTAGAACCTTCTAAAATTTCTGTTAATTCTTTTGCAATGGACCTAATATCTTCATCAGTATAATTGTAAGGGACATCATTAATTTTCTTCTGAATTTCACGAGCACAATCAATATATGCAGTTGTGTCCATAACCCGCTTGAGTCCTATATCTCCTAAAGCATTACAACACTTATTATTATTTTGCAATTTAGAAGGAAGAAATTTGTCATCATCAAAAATTCGATTGAATAAATCTACATTCGCATCGTATAGAGTATTGACTCTTACAAATGCTTTAAGATTTTTATTGGGAATTGATTCACAATTTTCAAGGTATTTTTCAATTTCTGGATCTCTAAGCAAAAGAATTTCTTCAAGGAATTCCACATCTTGGGGTGTCGGTGCTCTACTTGAACCAGGAGGATAATGTTGTTTTACATAAGCGTATGCTTCAATCTTTTTAGCACCAAGCTCAACAAGCACATTAAAATATTCGTCTCCCTCAATAAATATGTCAGTATCTTGCAAAGGACAAGAAAGGCTACGTGGGGGCAACTTTCCCTTCTTTGCGGTAACATATTTATTCTGTGATGATGAAACAATTCGCCATATCGGAAGTTCTTTAATGATCTCAACAATATTTTTATCTTTCTGCCCTTGAGTAGTCAAAATATTTGTTTCAGATAATAGAATAAAAGAATTATATTAAATCAAAAGTTGTGTTAAACAAACCTTGAGGGTTTTGGAGATTGAAGAATTCTTTAACGAACTCTCTGAACCTTTTTAACTCATTGTCATTTAACTTTGCGGTTTCAAAAAGTGACTCCATGGAAATATTTTGTGAACTTCGCTTTTTCCTAATAGAATCAAAGACGTTAAAATAGCTCCATTTAGCTACACCTTTGTTAAAGAATTCTGATTTATCAATATTCCTATTATTAAATTTTATGTTAGTGAGACAAATTCCTAATTTTCCAAGTGCATGTATAAAAACTTCATCTGGACTGTCCGGATAATTTAATAAAGGATTTGATGAATCCATTCGAACGAGTTTGTTATATGGTAAAATGACGGGGAGTAAAGGATATCTAGATAAGCGTGTAATTTCTAATCCCATGCACCATTTCATTTTTTCAAAAATATCATCAAGCCATTGTCGATTAGGAACATTTTTCGAAGAAGGATCCCAATCAATTTCCTGTTCATTTGGAAGCTCCTCATCCAAAAGGTCAAGAATACCTGACGCGTCAAGCTTTTTAATATTAGTAATTCTCAAAAAATCTTTACTCTTAAAAATTTCATTAAGATCATCATCTGAATTATAAATAAAACGAGAAGGACCAGATTTTGGAAATAAATTTTGATGCTCTTGCTTCGCGATATAATAAGTTCGCTCACCAAAAGTACCAAAAGAACCATTTTTTAAGGGTACCAACTGCAATCCAGTTAGATTAGAATAAACATTCTTATTTTTCAAAACGAATTTTAATAAACTTAAAATATTCGTAAAATTCTGTTGAATGGATTGTAGAACTTTATTGTCTTTTAGTAAGTCACAAACCGATTCAGAGTTAATAGACTGATATTTCTGGGCTGGTTTTCCTTTCTGGTTTTGTGACTCTTTCAATTGATCAAATTCATTTTTGTCAATCTTCACAGTTGAAATACCATGTTTGGCAAGCATATTTGCAATGTCAAAATCATTTTCCTCGGAGAAATATGCATTATTTAATGATACAAATTTACCACCATTAGCTTCTGTCCAAAATACTTTGCTGTCATTAAGGTTCTGCAGTACTTTTATCGCATAGCTATAATACGAACCCTGCTTAACTCGACTGAATGGCCAAAATTTTTTGGTTATACCAAAATTTTCGATGTTAGAGTTTTTAAAATGTTCGTAATATATTTCAGCAATTTTTCCCAATAATTTAACATGTAACGATGGTAGGATTTCAAGTAAAATAAATTTATTCCACTTTCCTTTGATGTTATCATTTTGTTGTAAGATAACAGTTCTATCTTCATTCAAAGAAAAATTGCCATTTATGTGCACACCTAAATTTGTAGAACCATTGCATGAAACATATGCATATTCTTTTCCATCAAGATCGGGTGGGTCTGTTAGCTGCATAAATAATTCAATTAATCATTAGTTGCGAAGAAATTATATAAATATAAAATGCGCACACATATCTGAAGTATATTACATCTAAAGGATTATTTAAGGATTCTTTATTTGACCGTGCAAGAATAGCAGCAACACCACCATGTGCCTTAGTAATGAATTATGAATTAATATTTTTTACATTATGTTAAAAACAGAATGATGAAATCTCAGATTATTCATACAGTAAGTCCCTCATTTTTTGAGAAATTGGATAATTCTTTATCTGTAATTTCGGTATTTCCACCTGTGCACACGAGCCACATTTCAGAGGTTGTCTTTTCCTTTTGTTGATCATATCGATATATTTTTGTTTCAAGTTGAAAAATTTGTGGTTTATAATCAACTTTGCTGCGAATATTTTTGATATCTTTTAGATTTTGGATTTTTGCTTCCCAGATTAATTGTGGTCCGCATTTATCTTTATCTATATGATATATGCTATATATTCCAATGTTTCTTAAAAAAAGGATTTCATCGCTACCTTTTATGCCACGAAGGTAGTCTAAAATATCCTTGGGATTTTCAAAATTTTGTGAGATTAAGCTTTTTTTTGATAATTCAATACTTCTAAGTGGCAATCTGAACAAAGTTCCGTTAAATGATTTTTTAAAATCACAATCTTTTATAGCAAGATATGGTCTACATTGATCCTCAAAACGAGTTAGAAATTTTTTTTCAAGGAAATTTAATTTAATTCCTCGAGGTCGTTTTTGAGGATTTCCACGTATCGGAAGAAACTTTGCGTGAGGATCAAGAAAAGCAATTTGTTCTCCACTCACAAAAGATAAAACATCAGTTAAATGGTAAGAAGTGGTAATTCCAACGCCAAAACGACCTATTTTGCTCTCATCATTGGATTTGCTTCCAACACCAAGTTTAATTAATGAAGAAAAATCTTTCGGTTCAAATATGGCATCATTATAAATCCAAACAGCTGGGCCTTGCCAATTATACATTTCTTCGGACAAGAGTGAGGAATGATCATTCTCATGCAATGGTCTTTCATCGATATAGATAGAAAATCTATGTGCTCCCGCATCATCAGCGTTCTGATGGGTAAATACAGTATAATAATAAGTACATGGATTAGATATAAATATTATATTCTATATATTACCTGAAGAAATTCTTTGAACAGGGAATCAAGTGAACAATTCTGGACATTAATAAAAATTACAGTATGTTAATTTATAAGGAAATAGCGATTTATAGCTTAAAGTAAGATAATGCTTACACTAATAATCGTTCGTATCCTAGTAGTTAAAGGTTCCGATTGTTCATAATCTTCAAAATCAATCTCACTACCCGTGGTGAATATTTCAGAAAGCATTCGAATTCCAAGTTCCTTAGCAAGTGCAAGTGATATTTTAGGATGAGAAAGTTTGCAATTTTCCTTTTCTTCACTACTTAAGCCGGTCCTATTATCAAATTTGATTTCTTCAAAGCTGACAAGAATGGCATTAGTGCTTGGAATAAACAAATCTTTCAAATCATTATGTTTTCCTTCCTTTTTAGACTTATTGCACTCCTTTCCAATTTGTTCAAGAATTCTAATAGTTTTAGATAAATTATCATCATTTAATGGTCTATTATTTGCTTCATGAGCAATGTTTTCGATTATATTAATGAAATCGGAGATATTAACTTTTTCTCTGACTCCCATAGATTTAAACATATTACTAAAATCATTGCAATAATCAGAAGGCAGTTGAACAATTGATAGTTCTTTTCCAAAATTTGTTGAAAGATCAAAAACTACATTCTTTGTTGTATAGAAATCACCTTCACAGAAGATCCACTTTAGATTTTTTAATCCTTCTTTCACCTCTTTCTTAAACTGTTCATCGTCATGTGACAGAGCACCATCAATATACTTATAAATTGCTTTGCAAATATTTGGGCGATTTTTAATATTTAAATTGTCCTTAGACATTGTAGAACATTGCATCATTTGCGAAAGAACGATTTCTACACGAGGATATCTCTTCCATTCCAAATGTTTGAGAAATGGAGTACTCGTGATTTTATAATCAAGAATTGAGAGGACTAGTGATACTAAATCCTCATCTCTTTTGTCACGACATTCGGATGAACAAGAAAACGACTTCTTACCATATTGATCAATAGTCGGAATCCATTTCCATTTTGAAGACTTAATAATTGATAAGAATTCATCATTTTTGTCTTTTAATGAATCCCAATTTTTATCGATATAAATAAACAATTTAAGTGATTTATCATATACATCATTGATGTCATTTGCCGTTTTCTGCCGTTCGGAATATGTTTCAATTCGCTTGATAATATCTTTTGATGAAAGCAAAGTTTTAATTCCTAACTCTTTCAAAATGTAATAGTGTAGATTGTCTTGATTTGAGAACTTTCCTACTGGAAAGACTTTTTCATCGTCGAAAAATAATTGTGCTATTTTATCGTTCAAGGGATCATAGAGATCAATGGGCTTGCATTTAATTGCATCAAGAACTTTTTTTTCCTGAACCATCTGAATTGTCCCGCAAGGTACAATATCAAGTTTGCTTAATGTGCTCTTTAATGAACTGTTTAAACGAATCAGGGTTGGCAGTCGTTCAAAAAGCCTTTCAACTACAATATCCGCATTTTCATAGTTACTTAAGTTTTTCAAGTATGGTATCACATAATATATCCAATACTGGGCTTGCGACAAACGTGGAATTTTAATTTTCTCTAGTAAATAACATGTATCTGTTGATGTGGCATCAAGAAATTTAAATTCTTTCGGTGCAATTATTTGACCATAATCTTTTTCATCCTCACTCGGTAAAAGGAGTACTTTTTCATTAGACCTTAAACTAATAATCTCATCTTTGCCAACTTCTTTAAAAATTGGTAAGCATTTTATAATTTTAATGTAATCATCTGTAAGTGACGGAGTAATATATAAGTAATAAGATAAATATTTTATGAGAAGTTCTGCTTCAGATGAGGATAAATTATAATCCTCATTGGTATTTAATGACGATAAAACTGATGTTATGTCGCTTATATTGCAAATGTATGCTGAGAACCTATTGGTACAATCGGTGAAATTGTTATTAGTAAAATCTTTAAAATAAATTGTTAAATCATAGGGATAGTATATAGTAAATATTTCAACAAACACCTTGTCCTTAAATTGGCTATATTATCTTCAAATTCTCTATTCACAAAAATTATGCCAAGCTTTTCGAGAATAGAATGTATTTGATCAAAAGAGTTTTGTAATCCCTCAGTACTGTTCCAAAAATATTTTATTTGATCCTTCTTAAGTTTTCTGAGAGTATTCTGTTTTGTTGGTATAAGATGAATGTTTTCAAATGAAATGAAATCATTTTCACTAAATTTGTTACATAAATATTTCCAAAGTTGATTAATCCATTCGAACCGGTTTTCCATATCAATCTCATCCTCATTGGAGTTGTGATGATTTAAAGAAATTTTAACGTTAATCATATCAGCGATGATTGGTACAGTTAACATCTTGATATTAAAATTCCATCCATTTGTAGTTACTTTATCACATAAACGACTTAATAAACTATTTGAGATGTCTTTAGCAATGAACTTGTCTAATTGATCTTTAAAAAGTTCATGCGGATCATTTTCATTTTCACCTATAAAGCTATCTGGACAAATATACGTGATTGTGCCACGTCGAGATAGTCGAGATATTGTTTTAAATGTTCCGTTGGCCAATGGAATCATTTGTAAACCTTCCAATATCTCATTATTTTCATCATTCAGTAAATAATCAAACAATTCTAAGATCTCCTCTCTTGTCAGCTTATTTTGCCATTTGCCTCTATTGTTTTTAAGGAATATGCTAATAATACTAGGTGAATAAAACTTGAGAGAATGTTTATCGGATTTTTTTAATGTTTTGATGATTTCGGAGGGAGCGTGAATAATTGAAAACTCAATTTTATTCAATATACTTGGAGTAACAGATCCAACATACAATTCATCTTGAAAGTATCCCGTTGAAACAGATAACATTTTACCAGACTCGCAGAAAGTTTCATCATCTTTGTTAAGCCCGCAGAAAATTTTATCGTCTTTGCTAAGCTTGCTTATCATATTTTCTAATAGGTTTATGAAGAAATCGGATGAACTCGATTGACCTGGGGCTAGAATTGGCCAAAATTTATAGTAATCTTTCGAAGGCACATGTGGTCGAATGTTAATAAGAAATTTAATCCAAGCTTGTGGTATAATCTGAAAGTTTTTTTTTTACACCATGAATTAATTTTCGCTTTTATAATCCTTCTGATTTTCAATAATTTGAAAATAATCAAATACCTTTTCGAAAAGATAATTGTTCCAGCTAACTTTCAAATTTGCCAAAGACTTAGTGACCTAAAAAAAATAAACATTTATACAAGTGTTTAATAACCAGTGTTAATAGTTTTAATGGTCTTAGCAATAAATTGAACTTAGAATTACTAGATCATTATTTATTCCAGACCATAGACCACGCCTGTTATTAGTAACCTATTATTGCATTAACGTTAGTTGAGAATTGATTTTAATTTGACAATTAATTGTGAAACTTTAATAGCCAACATAATAGGTTAGCTTACCGCAAAAAGTCCATTTATGGAAACTCGAAAAGGAGTATCCATCTGAAGAGGGAAAAAGCAGAATAATTCACCATGAAGTTTATCTTCATCATGACCTGAATTTAGCTTTGCAGCTAACCCTACAATTGGTACGGTACCAAGTCTTTCTCCAAAGTCGTCTGGAAAGCAGTGTTTCGCATCATGCAAATCACCAAGCATATTTACAATGAACCATGAGGAATCTTCAACTTCAACCTTCTTTTCATGTCGAACAAGAGATACACGATATGTTGTGCATAATGTTGTTTGTTGGTTAAGTTTATTTTCTTTAAGATTCTTCATCATTGGACCGATTTCTTTAGCAACCATTTGACGATCTTTGCGTACTATTTCAGCATCTTTCAGTGAAATTCTGTAAATTAACTCAGGCTCAGTTTTCCCTTTCTCCAACTCGTAAAATTCAATACATTCAATATATCTAAGAAAAAGTAGGCAATTAATGCTATCCTTTTCAAAAAACGGTTTAAACATTTCTAAAACTTGATCTGGTTCGTATGTTGATTTTGAGATTTTTGATTCTTTAGAACCTTGTTTAGTACGTAAAGGATATCGAAAGATCGTGCCTTCAAATGTACCATCACATGGAATACTAAGTTTTCCAAGTTTTTTGAAAGGATCAAATTGATCTGGATATGTTTCAGATAAGTTATCTTCAATAAAATCGTATACGTGCCCTCCCTCATAGCACCACTCATGAGGGTCAAGAATAGCAAAATTATTATCAGTGATAAATGAACAACTGTCACATAAATGGTAAATAGAATTAAAACCGACACCCATTTCTCCAATTTTATCATATTGGCCTTGTTTTTCACTGTTAGCTAAATTCTCCAATGATGTAAAATCATCATCATTAAATTTGGTGTTATTTTTCGACAATAGTGCAGGTCCTTGGAATCTACTAAGTCCGGGCATAAGAAGACTTTCAGTACTATAAGTATTGTGGTCAAGTATAAATACTTGTTCTGTACTTTTTGCGTCATCCGAATTCTGTAGGATTTCACGGAGAACTTGTGAGCTTTCAGGGTAATCTTCAAGAATTTTTTTTAAGCGATGGGTATACGGTTCTTTTGGCTTGAACTTTTTTCCTCCTACCATCTTATTTCAATAAACGATATTACTGTTTTAAAGATACAAACTTTAAGACAGAAGAATAATTTAGATCCATTGTACCTGATTAAGGTAGTAATTAACTAATTATCGCACTTATTTGTGCTACAAATCCAGAAAGGGAAATTAGCTAATTGGCGAACGTATTATCCGGATTTTGGGTAAAGCAAAGAAAAAAAAAACGAAAAAAGCGAAAATACAAACAAAAACGAGTGTTTAAACCTGTCTTGAGGCACGAATTAAAAATGATGCAAATGAAATTTTACGTATGGGTGATTATTATTTATTTATTTTATATCGCCTCTAACTTTAACGTCCTAACTAGTTATGTGCCATATGGATACGGTACGATTCCCCGAAAACTACTTGCCCTAAAGTCTATTTACCCGACATCACACGAGGTGAAAATTTACTAATAAAATATACCTATAGCTGACTAAATGCTAAATTGTCACCCTAAGTGGTATCGGGTAAATGGACTGTCGAATAAGTAGTTTTCGGAGAATTGAGCGACAACCGTGCCATTTATATAGTAGCCTAATTTTTTTCGTATACAGTACGTATAGTATTTTATATAGTGTAACAGAGAAATAAAATGTAAATTTAAGCATATAAAAAAATTGCAGTTAAAAGATCTGGAACCTTTAATATGCCATGATTGACATGTGAAATAAAATTTAGTGAGTGTTATTCCAGATTTAATTCAAGAAAAAACTTTTGTAAAGAAAAAATTATATAATATTTTTAGTTGTTAAAAAAATATAAACAAAAGTCATATTAAAATAAAATTTTGTATAATATGAGATAGACAAATGGGATTGAGTCAATGGAAATTAAGAAATTTTTCTGAGTAAATTTTTTTAAAAACTTTGAATGGCAATAACTTAACAACTTAATCAAATTTAATATAAAAAAATTTTAAATGAATTCTACGAACTTATGGAATTTAGTTTAAAAAATTTTTATTAAATTTAATCAAATTTTTGTTAAGTTGCTAGCATTTAAAGTTTTAAAAAAAAATTCAATAAAACAATTTGCTTGATTTCTATTGACTCACCCCAAATTATTAAAAAATACAAAATTTTGAGTTGTATATATTTTTTTTAATATTCAAAAGTAGTCTTGGAAATAAAATTTATATTAAACAATAATAAGTAGATTTTAAAAAGTAAAATAGAAATTCTAAATTTTATTTTTAATTTGATTTTATTATAGATTTTTTGAATGAATTATAGAATAGTATATACAGTGATACCTCTCTAAGTAGGGTGGTTAACGGAGTAGCATACTCCGGAGCCACTTAGATATGCCTAAAAATCTGAAGTGAACTGAAGCAACTCTAAGCAGGCCTGGAGTGACTCAGGAGTGAGCCCAACCCAAGCTGGAGTGGGTTGAGGAATTGTTTAACCCATCCCAACTCATTAACAACGCTGTATCTAAGTTCACCCTCCCTAAGTGTATATCTTTCTTAAGTGCACGCTATAGCTAAGTCTACAAGCACGTACCAGATCGTATGAATTACACGTACACAAACTTTAGAGTAAATATATTAGCACGTGAAAGGTTTTTAGATTATAATTGTCCGGTGGATCCTATATTATTCGGAAAATGATACAAATTTGTTTTTTTTGTGTCCGCACGCATGTCTATATTTGTATTTTAATGTAATACTAATATGCTTATTTCGCGTTTGTGTAGCATGCTGATCATCATGTGTTATGCTTCGGACAACAGGTGGAACCGTCAATGTTACACAAATTTGGTACACAATTGAAAGAAAATTTTTTTATATTGGTTTACAATACTTTTTTGGAAAGCCGGCGTAACTTATCTATTGTGCTGTACTAAAACGTATCCTTTTAATCCATTTTAATCCACTAACTTTCATAATACATTTTACCTAGCAAAGGTATGTTTAAAAATAAGCATTGTGAAGGTTATAAGATCACTAAACTAACTAAATTTTGTTACTAAAGGGTGAAAAAAACAAAAATATTGAAAAGAATAATTTAGCAAGGTAAACACTATTGAAAAAAAATAATTTATATAGTTCTTATTATACACGTATTAAAAAATTCTTTTAAATAAACAATAAACTAATCGACTATTCTGTTTTTATATAATTTTTAGATAATAAGTTTATAATGTAGATAAAAATAAATATTCTAATAGAATAATAATACTATTATATTGTGAGAGTTCATGCTAGATATTTATACGTATTAAATATGGTGTTAAATGTGCAAAAGGGTAGATATTGAATAGGCTGTGTTTAAAATATAGGTTATAGATTAGATATAAAATTGAATGTAAATAATACCGTTAATGAATAGATAGATTACTGTTAATGGTAAATAAATTATATCAATTATACGTAAGACATTTACAGTAATATTTAAGGCATTTAAGATATCTATTTTTGAATTTTATATTTAAATTTGAATTAATTCATCTTTTTCGTTACTTTAATATTTGCAATTTGATTGGTTGATGAACATGTGATATTACATCAGCATTAGTGTAAATTGCACGTACTGAATCTGTGACAGGTTACGCCGATGATGTCAATTATCTGACCATCTGTACCCCTAGCGTCAATCCTA